ACAATAACTAAGAAAATTGACATAAAGTCTATGTTAACCAGTTTGATAAAAATATTTCAAATTGTATATGAAAACACCACACTGTACCCCATGATTGCATCAATGTACACAGCTATCATTTAATAAAAAAAAATTAAAATCTACAGAAAAGACTTCAATGTATATATAAGAATAGTAAACTGGCATATCAGAACTATGGGAAATTGGATTATTCAATAAAAAGTATGATATAAAGTATATATCTCACGTTGGGGATAAAAAAAGTTATTTGAAAATTCAATTGTTCATAGGCTGGAGCTTTCCAGTTTTATTAAATCACATAAGAAAATCAACAAGCTATGGAAATAATATAGGAATTGATTGATACGCTTCCAGAATATTAGATCTGAAGTACTATATATATAGTAATTGTCTCCTTTCTCCCTCCTTCCTCTCCCTAGATTATGCCATTTACCTGCGAAATCAGAAGTACTTAGGGTTATAATTATCTTCAGCTGCCTTCCACCCCAGAAACCATATGAGAATATAAGCAAGTAAGAATAAGACAACCTTAACTCGAATTTATTAGAAAACATTAAACCACCTGTACAATTCCACTTCTCATTATAATTAACGGACCATCTGCAATGCTCTTCACAAAATGATTAATTTACACTAGGTAGTCCTCTACTATAACTGAATCACTTAAAATTTCTCAATAAACACACCGACCCATAGATTAGAAGCCTTCTCCGCTGCCCCTGAACCATCTCAAATAACGGATACATGTTGTGTTGCAACCCACTACGCCAATTATTAGCTTTATAGCCTTTGAACTAGTTATTAACCTTTCCGAGTCTCACTTCTCTAAATTGGGACGATGATAATACCGATTTTGTATACTTTTGGTGAGTAATTAAAGAGATGGTGCACACAAAAGCAAGGTTTAGGTCACCTGACACAGCTAAGGCTCTTCGATATTAACTCATATTTTGTTTTAAAAGTAAAAATAGGATTGCAAAGTCAGTCTTCAGAAACATGGTATTGCTAATGGACATTTTGTCAGCATATTCCTTAGTGTTCTAAAGATGCGTGGTTGTCAGATTTCATGAAGATTCACAGAATCCCAGTGCTGATACTTCAGATGCTCCATGTCAGTGGCCCATGCTCTACAGGTTTAAGTGAGTTTTCTTTATTTCTCCTCCTCCTCCTTTAATTTCTGCCTGGCTGACATTCTAAACGATAAAAAGGGGCCAGTTCTTCCCAAAGACAGAACTTAACTGTTAGCCTTCTAATTGTGACTGCTCAACAGATGATCCACTGTGACATACGTAGTTTAGGAATCTCTGACTAATGTGTTGAGGAAAGCTCATGAAAGACACATGATGGTTAATGATTTACATTCAACTTCCTATAATCACTTCATCCTCACATCCTGGCTTCTGAAAGGCCTTTAAAGATGACTAAAATCAGTAGTCAAAACACTGCAAATACGCTTTTTACTATGGTGTCAAGTTCATCTTTAGAAAGAATTTCTGAAAGAACTACAGACATGATCCCTGAAAGTACAGTCTTGAGAAAGAACATTAAAAAAAAAAAAAGAATAGAACATAATTCTCCTAACATCATATATACCCATACCTTAGGAGAGCCACAATCACAGTCCTCTCCGACTTCCAGAAGTTGGTTCCCACACACGGGTGCTGTCATTATGTTTTGGGGAACAGGTGCTTGCAAAAGGCACTTTGGCTTCTGAGATAAAACGTATCCTCGAAAATGTGAGTGGCTGGATGTACTGAAATCTTTGGGGAATTTTGAACTGTAACAAGAAGGAAATTCAGAAATAGAGTGAGACAGAATGTGGTGGCTTCTGTGTGGTAAGTGAGCGAGAGAACCTGACTTATCCAATCATCTGACCTGGTTCACTGTCAATTACAAATTTGGTAACTGGTTAGGAACGCACAGTATTAAATGTGGTGGGCAGCAGAGCATGCATACTAATGGGATTTTTTTATTCCCCTGGAGTCCCAATCATAGAGCTGGAAGAATTTAAATTTTCCTGTGGATTCTGTAGTGTGGTGAATGATAGCAGCAGTGGCTATCCCCATTTATTATCATCTGCCCATCTTACACCAAGGAATGGGGGTAAGAGATACAGTAATGACCAGGGAAGGGAAGTAAGTTCAGACTAGGAGGTTCTACGGACCTATTTCTCCTTGGGTTCATGAGCACTTGGAAGAACAAGGTTTGTTTTCTTCATTATTCTATTCAAGACTCTGCAAGATGCCTGGTGTTAACAGATAATTACTAACTATGTAAATCCGGGTGGCACCCGTAGCTCAGTGGATAGGACGCTGGCCACATACACGGGGGCTGGTGAGTTCGAAACTGGCCTGGGCCAGCTGAACAACAATGACAACTGCAACAAAAAAATAGCCGGGCATTGTGGTGGGTGCCTGTAGTCCCAGCTACTTAGGAGGCCGAGGTAAGAGAATGGCTTAAGCCCAAGAGTTTGAGGTTGCTGTGAGCTATGACGCCACAGTGCTCTACCGAGGGCGACATAGTGAAACTCTGTATTAAAAAAATAAATCAATAAAAATAAACAAACAAATATGTAAAACTGGATTAATGGGTTGATTGGGAGAATAAGAAGATACTGTCATCATCTCACAATTAGATTAATATGTCTAGGAACCATGACATCATTTTAAATTAAAAATATATTAAGGTGAAATAATAGGGTCTCCATACTGTAAGTTCTATGTTGATATATTTGGAAATTATACCAATTATACCAAATATAAAAAAAACCCTGTGTACCCAGAGACTGGGGGTTGAGTTACAGAGATACACGACCTGCCCAGCCAACACATTTAGATTGCACCTGAATTCTTAAAGATTTGGGAAATGTTATTCTCTAGGGGGACAAGATCTCACGTCAGATATTGATTCATCACACAACTGCCCGAGGGACACTTGGTATAATATGGAACATCAGGCATTCCGAGGACGTGACCCAGCTCATGTGACATCACTCCCACAAGAGCCACGTTATTCTTGTTTTTAGCCTGGAAAAAAAAAAAAAAGTGGAAACTTCCATTACTTCTTATTGTATTCAGTTACCTCTCAATTACTGTTAATGTACAGTACTTAAAAACTGCTTGAGAAATGAAGATGGTGAATCATTGAACTTTTTTCCCTGTCATTGTTTACTGAAAAATGTTGAAAGAACATTTGCAATGGTTGGGTCCAACACATTCAATAAATATTGGTGCTCAATAAATATTTATCGAACTATTGGATACAAAGTCCTCCGTAAACCATGGTTAAATTAATTTATATTCTTCATTGGAAGAACTAATAGCTACTATAGCAGAGGTCTCCAAAGCCTACTGTTACAATGCTTGTGTTATTAGTAGTGCTTGCATCGACTTGAAACTTATTCACATTTCTCTGGACACAGATACTGTGGATGACTAATTTAGAGGTATCTCAGGCCGCAGAAGGTATCTGGATACCCTTTCTGTTTCAATATTCCTACTCTTATTCCCTAACATCTACTAAAGAATTAAGCCTCTTGGCAAGGCCAGTGTGAGGGGTTATTCTGTTGCATAACCCAAGGAATCTTCAGCAAAATAATCTAGCAGTAGTTTCATTACTACTTTGATTTATTGATTCAGCAAATGTTCATTGTGCCAACTGAATTATGCTGTTCTTCACAGAGGATACAGAACTACAGGAACTGTAGGATAAATTTACGAACATCAATGACAGCCACTGAAGATGGAGAGCACAGGGAATTTGAGGCCGCCATCCCTGTACGACGATTGCTGAAGCCCATCCCGCTGCAAGAAAGTTAAAGATACATTGTTACCATCTGAGTCTCTGAAACCATTAACTTTTGTTCATTATGTTACAGATTTCCCTTGCTGCCCTAAAATTCTCACTTTATAGATTCACTAGGTCCTGGAAAAATCTCTATTACTCCATAGCATTATCATGACCACAGATGGTTACCCCACATTCCAGAGTCCATGCTATTAATCCGATACAGGTGAATCTCTAATAATCTCACAAGTGAATTGCTAATGGTAGAACTTCAAGCACTTTGAAAATTGATGGGGGAGATATGATTGAGCAGAATCTCTGCTGAGGAGCCCTGGTGTAACTACCCACTCTACATACATGCGCCTGGCCCTGGTCAGCATGCACTCACCTGAGAAGCTGGGCATGGTCGTGGATCTTTTTTCTCGCCAGGTTAGAACGATGCCATCGCAGGAAGCGGTTAAAGGTGGTGCCTATGTTAGGTTCCACCTTGATCTTATTAACATCAGACCAGATTTCCATACCTACCAAGGCCACGTGAATATCAATGGTGTTATAAATCTGTAGGAAGACCATTTTTCTTCATGAAAATATTCAGGATTCCTTTAGTACCTGAGAGTTTTTGCTAACCACAAGTGATGGATAAAGCTATGGAGCACAAGTGATGAATTTCTATTTTGATGATAAAAATCCTATAAGTTGCCTTTGCTACAAAATATGTGATTTCACCTTGAGGTTAATCACTGTTCTGCTAAAATTTCCCAGAACTGCTTAAATTACAGTGGCCCTTTTGACCCATATTGGTAAGACCACAAAGCAGCTCCAGACTTCTACGTAGAGACAAGGTTTACAAGACAGATGGCTCACCACATTGAGTAGGTTCATCACATCAAACACGAAGCTTCTCATCTGAGTAACATTCCCCTTATAGTTGTTATACTGTAAAAGATAAAATGCAAAGTATAATTAAAGAGCAAGTTAAAGGGAGAAAGCTGATGGGGCAGGGGAATTCACATTTTAACAAAAATTACATATTTTAATATAACTAACATCTATCTATTCCAGGACTAAATTATGTATCACTCTGTGTTTCAATAAATACTATTTCAAACATAAGAGTTTTGTGGTAACAGACAAGTTAAGCATTCATATAAATGTTAGTGCTCTTTTTTTTTTATTATTAAGTCATTTGTACATAGATCATGAATACATTTATGCCATTATGGGATTCAAGGTGTTCATTATTTGTACAATTTGGAGTGCTTACATCCTACTAATCAACATAGCCTTCACCTCCTTTACCCAATTACAGATTACAGTGTTAAGACGTTTGTGTTCTATACCTGATAGATCCAACTTGTACTTGCAATATGCTCCACAAATTCTTTCAGTTGAATAAATCAAGTTCATAACTTGAATGCTTTGAAACCAATTTGATATTATTAAAGTTTGATTACAAAGCATTATTTGCTAGGTCAAAACACAGAGTCTAGGCTCGGCGCCTATAGCTCAACCGGCTAAGGCGCCAGCCATGTACACCTAAGGTGGCGGGTTCGAATCCCCAGCCCGGACCCGCCAAACAATGACGGCTGCAACCAAAAAATGGCCAGGCGTTGTGGCGGGTGCCTGTGGTCCCAGCTGCTTGGGAGGCGGAGGCAGGAGACTCACTTGAGCCCAGGAGTTGGAGGTTGCTGTGAGCTGTAATGCCATGGCACTCTACCCAGGGGGACAGCTTGAGGCTCTGTCTCAAAAAAAAAAAAAAAAAAAAAAAAACACAGAGTCTAGCTTTTTTTTTTCTCTATAGGTGGAAATGCAATTTGTGAGTTACATGTAGTTTTGGCCAACTTAATATTTATATAATTATAAGATATAGTAAATATATACTTTAAATATAACAATAATATTTTAATAACCAGCTATCTGTTTAAGTATATTAAGTATCTTGCCTCATTTGAATATTTTGGTGGCAGACAGACATTAAAGGCCATTGGAGAGATGAAAACTATTTCTGGAAAGGGAGAAAGAATAGTCAAGACAACCAGGACGTCTGACAGCACTGTGAGCCAGGTTAGTTTAGGGTTTGCTTCTGCTTGGTAAGTAAATTTAAAAGGGAATGAACCTGGCCACGGGGCACACATATTTCATACTTACAAAGTCATTATCCAGCACCAGAAAGAGACTGATGTATTTCTGTGCCTGAAGAAACTCTTCTTGCTTTTACAAAAAATAAAAGATCATTGTGAAAGATCATCTTTATTCTAGAAGATTAAAAAAATACAAAGATTTTTTTCTTCCACAGAGAGAAGTTAAAGTGAAGAATAAATAAATACATTGTAGACTTTACACATAAAACAGTGTTGCTGAGCACACCAACATATCATGTTTCCCCGAAAATAAGATACTGTCTTATATTTATTTTTTCTCAAGAAGACACACTAGGGCTTATTTTCAGGGGATGTCTTCCTCTCAGTGCTGAAATGCATGGCGTGGCTATGCAGATATGCTGCATAGCCACACCCATCACTCGGTCTTATTATCAGGGTAGGGCTTATATTTAACAAATGCATGGGACTCCTGCTAGGGCTTATTTTTTGGGTAGGTCTTATTTTCTGGGAAACATGGTATCTCATATAGGGGCTGAGATAATAGAGATGAAGATATGTGGAATATTCCAGAAGGACAATCATGAACGTGTATAGGAAAAAAGCAGTTGTCTGATGTTTTTAAATAATGTAAAAAAAAACCCCAAACTTTACATTAAGAAAGACTTCCAAAAAGTGAACTTACATGGTAATGATACTTACAAATAACTAATTCTAATATGTGAAATAGCGACTTACCATTTGCCTTAATGCACAATATACTGTACTGGGTGCCATAATGGATCACCAAAGAGATAAGGCTTTGTTTTGTTTTTTACTTTGAAACCAAACCAAATACACTAAAGAAAATCAACCAACAACCTATAAAGAATTAAATAAGGTGAACTTATACCATGCAGGAAGTATCTATAACAACGTAACAAAGAGTTAATATTCTTAATAAATTTAAAAAATCTTCCTAACTACTGAGATAAAATTGAATTCTCTACTATAGAAAAAATGTCTAAGGAAGAGGCAATTCACTGGGAAAAAATGGCCTGGGAGATGCAGGGAAGACGGAAGCTGGATGAGGCTAGGAAAGAACCACATCACCTAAAAATGGCTCCCCTTTCCGCCTCCTCCTCCCTCCCCCAAACTTGAAGAAATTTCAAGGCTGCTAGCTTTATCCTTTCTTATCAAATGAGGCAGATCATTCCCTGTTGCTTAGTGTAATATCATTCCGAGAAATCGTGTGTTTTCTCTGGGACAAAGGGGCTCTGTAAATGAGGTGGGCTTCAAGGCGAAACCGTTATTAATAGATGTTAACCGTAATACTGCTTTTATTGTGAAAAAGCTCTTTGGTGTCTCTTTAAACGATTGTAAAATCTACCGCCGTCATTCACATCCCTTACCTGTTTGCTGTGATTCTCTGTCTGATTTTTCTCCACCTCCCTTTTGTGTACAACGTGTAGCTTTTTAGGATGAACTACTTCATGGAACTTTAATTCTGGTGCTTGATTTTGGGATATTGCTAGAGAAAGAGAGATAATATTAATATGAAATATTATAAGATTTTCTTTTTTTGTTTTCACCATGTGATCTTTTATTTTAACTACAGGCAATACATTCACATGTGTCAAAGTTCAAAAAATATAAGAGGCATCTAATGTGACAAGACTTGGAGCTGCCCCCTGTCCACTCAGTCCCTTCCTGCTCCCTGGCACACATGGCTAATTGTAAGGTTTTTGTTTGGTTGTGTTGTATTTTATTTTCATTGGTTGGGGTGGGGAAAGGGCTTGGAAGACTCAATTTTCATCTAGAGAGTAGACATTACAAAGAACAATTCTCCTACTTCAGATTTTGTGACAAACAATTTTTTTTTTTTTTTTTTTTTTGCATCTCCCTTCCCAATTCTGGAAAGACAAGAAGATTATAAAGCAATTTTGGGACGATCCTTCAGTGTATGCAAACTGGACCACAATGTCCAGAAAGGGTAGGTTCTGGATTAAGAACAGTGTTGTGTGAGCTTCCAATTCTGCCTATAGTTTCTTCTCCCTTTAAAGTTGTCTTCAAAATAGTGGATTTTATTTCTCAATGCCTTCGGAGAACTCTTCTCTTTCTCCAAGCATTCTCCTCTGTGGTCTATCTCCTGATTCTCCACTCTCCAAATCAAAATTTTCACATGCAGACGATACCTCAATCTAAGGGAAGTCTCTACAGCGGTTATCTTGTTCCTTGGTATGGCAAAACGCCAAGGTGCTCTTTCTCTAGTTAACGTTTTTTTCTCTTTAGACTTTAGATTTCATAAGAATTAAAAGTTTTTTGGTTTTTGTCCTCTGGAAGAATTTCAAAGCATCAAAAAGCAAGTAGGAGCATTGATAGACAGAGTGTCCTTTGCTTACAGAAAGACCCAAAAGATGTGATCTTATTTCCTGGCAGAAGGACCAGGCAGAAATCACTCTGCCTTCGTATTAATTATCTAGAGTATATGTTGGTATAAAACTTGAAAATGATAATATATATATAATTATTAGTGCCACTAAGAAGATGGTAGCCCTCCTTTCATACCCTTTTTTAAATTGTTCAATCATGCCTATAAAGCCAGTCTTATTTCTGAACGCTCACATTTTTACCCATAAGCATCTGTGCTTAGAGAGAGTTTCCCACTCACTGTTAAGCGTGATCTTGGGGATACCAAGTGATTCTACACCTGGCAGATGGGAGCAGCCTGAAGGCAAGAAAGCAAGAATCCCTCCTCATCAGCTTCCAAAGTTCACTGTAACACTGTCCAAAGGATTAATTACATACTAACACAAGAAATCCAGAAATGCATTAGTAAATGCTCTTACATCAAAAGATAATATGAGTCTGTTGGTGGAAAGAATCATGGGTTTGAAGCTAGAGAAAATATTAATAATATCTAGTCCCAACTTCATCGTTAACTGTGCCATTTTGGGAACACCCTTCAATGATCTGTTTTCTTACTTGATTATTTGCTCTATTTACCCTATTTGGCTTCGGAGACATGTCATAAGGGTAGGTTACAATTTAATTTAGTCAAAGGGCTTTGCAATGTTTATAAAGCAACAGATAAAAATAAAACACATTGGATTCGATTTTTGTTCAAGAAGTTAGTTCAGTGATGTCATTTGGGGCTGTGTGTTTTAGAAATACAGTAGGATTCCTATGTACTCAATTTTGATATGAGGACATATCAATTAATGACCTAGTACAGGGTGGGGGTTGGGGAAAGGGTAGAGCAGAGAGAGAGAGAAGGAGGGAGGTGAGTGGGGGAAAAGAAGGGCAGAGAGAGGTAAGGAAAGAAGGGGGGGGAGAAGGGAAGAGCAGAGAGAAGGAAGGAAGGAGTGGGAGGAGGGAAGAGCAGAGAGATGGAAGGACGGGGTGGGGAAAAGGAAGAGCAGAGAGAGGAGGGGTGGAGAGGAGGGAAGAATAGAGAAAGGGAAGGAGGAAGGGGGACACACCTTTTGGGGACAAGACACAATTGTAAGAGGGACTTTACCTAACAAATGCAATCAGTATAACCTGGTTTATTTTACCCTCAATGAATCCCCAACAATAAAAAAAAATACAGTAGGATTCATTAAATAAGAGATATAGTAGGATCATTAAATGAGAGATACACTTTCAGAGGCATGTTTACTAAATATGCAAATTATAAAGTCTTTATTGTGAGCACTGAGTTTATGTGAATCAAATACACGAATCTGGCTATGTGTTAATGCATACAATTCATTAGCTGTATGTACGTTTGGAATAATAGTTTCATAATAATTCCTCTGGGTACAGTATTGAGGCTGGACAATGTGAAAAATATATGAGAACTAGAAAGGCTAAAGTCAGCACTAAGCATGCTCACTTTGCACAGTGCATAAAGCGGCTGGGAGTTTAGCTGCCTTTTCTCTATGTGCTCTGCCTGCTTCCGTGTGGGGTTTACCATACACGGGTTTATCTGTGGAAATGTGCAGGTTCACAGCTTGACTTTTAACATGCTTATCACGTGACTGCTAGTAAAATAACCAATGATGACATCCAAGGACTTAATTTACTTGTGATATAATAAGGGTAGAAAACTGGTTATCACATTGGTTCCTTTATCGTTAATCAGCCTCCTACAGAAAATAGTTATTTTCCCAAATCATGGCAGAAAACCAGTTATCAAATTGGTTCGTCTGTTGGTAATCAACGTAACAGAGAAAGAGTTATTTTTCCAGAACCAGCCATTTTGACACTGACATTCCACTTTTGAGACTCTTTCTCAAGAATATATCTTAAAATGCAGATTTTTAAAAATAGCTTTGATTTGGGGCAGCACCTCTGGCTCAGTGAGTAGGGTGCTGGCCCCATATACCAAGAGTGGTGGGTTCGAACCTGGCCCTGGCCAAACTGCAACAACAACAACAACAAAAAATAGTTTTGATTCATGAAAATGTTAAGCAAACTTTATTTACTAGTAAAAAGATGGAATGCATAAGGCAGTAAGTAACTTTTGGTTCATCTATTTTGGAAAATATTGTGCAAACATAAAATTTATTATTTTCAAAATATACAGTATTTCATCTCTCTTTCATGCATTAATAAGAGAATGAAAGAAAATTATTTTTATTTGAAAAAGGGGACCAGTTTTATGTAGTGATTTACAATATCTTCACCCCAAAAGAAAAATTTAAATAGATCGAGCGATAGATAGATAGACAGACAGACAGACAGACAGACAGATAGAGTTTGTTTTAAGGGAGACGTGTAGAAAATAACCCAAAATGCAAGCAGCAGTGATCTTTGGGTCATAAAATCATATGTTATTCTTTCTTTAAAAAATCATCAAATAATTTGATTTTTATATAAAGTGCCAGTATATTAGTGCTTACCTTGGGTTTGAATGATGAGCCAGAATACGGAAAGCAGGACCCAAGACATGCTGGCTGCTGCAGGTAGCTGGAAAGTCATGCAGCATGAAGACACCGTCTTCCCAGCAGTCCAGTTTTATCCTCCTCCACTTCCCTAAAAGTTGAAAGAAAAAATGTAAACTGCAACTTGCCCGTGAGATTGGGGAATGTTTCTTAATAGTGCTGGGAAATTGTAAAAAACATGCAGTGTCAAGAGCATGAGAATGTTCCTCATTTATGGGAGGTATTTACATCTGTGGTTACAGCTCACTGGGGCCTCCCATCTGGACAGCGGTTTGTCCCTGGGGTCCGTACAGCAGTGGGAATGTACGAAGGGAGACGGAGGTGCATGCGTGCATGTCTACACAGGCACCAGAGGAAATCATGACCATTGTCGGTATCACTCTACACATGGACCCACAAATCCTGAACCTATATGAGTATTCTGTGCATACTTTGAGAAACTGGCAGAGAACACAGAATCTAAAAAATAAGCACCAGGCAAAATCCTCAGATGCTTCTGGTGTGAAAAGGGAATATCAACTACACCAACCTTATGATAAAACTCATATGAGTTTATATATACACAAAAAAATTGTAAAGAAACATGCAGATCTAATTTATCTTCACAGCGTTAGCCTCAACCGAACTATAATTAGTATGAAGTATGTTCGAGGTACAGTGTGGGTTCTGTTTCAGAAAAATAATATTTCACTGGCTATGAAAATCGGACATTTTTATAATTCAAAATATAAAAAAATATATTTATAATAAAAATATCAAAAAATATCAAAAAGGCTAATCACTCACTGGCCTACCATTGTGAAATCACTTCCATTAACATTTTGACAATTTATTTTCATCCCTCTTTCATGCATTAATAAGAGAATGAAAGAAAATTATTTTTAGTGTACAAAGGGTTTGAGAAATAATTTTTTTGCATAACATGACACGTGTGTTCCTATTAAACATTAAGACATTATTTTAATGACTTTAGAAGATTGATTGTGTGCCTATGTAATGTGTGGCTATGTACAGTTATTTGATTGAACTTCTAGTTACTTCTTCAGGATACATTTCTAGAAGTTGTATTATTTAGTTCAAAAGAGTAACATGATTGAGATTGTTGGTATACATTTTCCCAATACTTTTCATAGAGTTAGTGCCAAATTAAATTTCTATTTACAGAGTGTTCCCAAACTAGAAACCTATACCCTCCAACATAACTAGACTTCCTTTTCATGGTTATATGCGGGAGTTTCTTGTCATCTGATTGGAAGTTTTAAAGTCACCTCATTTATCTATTCTTTTACCTTCCTTTGAATTAATAGCATTTTCTCTATAATTTGAATTTCTTTTGCTGGTCCAGACGACAAGTATCCTTTTAATATCCTCAACCAGTCACCACTACAATTTTAACAAAGTATAGTGTTAATTAATATTTCTACAGTCAAATAATAAAGGATCTGGGAATGGCCTCTTCACAGTGTTTCCCCCTTGGCCAACTCACAGGTTGTGTTCAAGTGTCCTAATTCTCCCATGATTTTGAGCCCTATGTTACTCATTATTTTTTAGGTGTGCTTAATACAGACGATAATGTTCAAATCACTCATGTTTATTGCCTTCTCTGCTTGTAGGTTCTTTAAACAGCAGTACTTTTTTAAAAATTAACTTTCTTCTTCATGAAACATATACACAGATAAGTTTTCTTGGAGTCAGCAGTTGTAAGGTTTTTAAAAAATTTTTCTGCGATTGTATTTATTTCATCCTGTGTTTTTACAGTATGTTAGCTTGAAGTACAGTTTTAGGATAACAATTACTGTCTCTCAGCACTTCAGAAATAATATTTATCTTACTATCTTTTGCTAACTCTCCTGCCTGTTGACAGTTTTGCTTTCCATGTACTTAATGGAAGTTAATTTATATTTATTAATTATGCAACTAGTACTGCTAGCTCAGTTAAATATTGATATCATATTAAATTTGAGGTTATACTAAATTACTACTGCATTTCTAGGCATCCCAAGGTAACTCTGATACTATCCTTGCTACTGGGATATTCCTGCAATAAGGTTTAGTCATAGAGACAAATCTACAAAGGCAATCTGTACATGTGGAAAATATGATTGATTTGTTCATTGTGCTGAGATATATTTGAGGAGGGGTTTATCTCCTGGTGGGTGGAGATAGTCAGATCATATTAGCTAGAAAAGGAATAAGGGAGTTGGGTATCGTGAGCAAAGCCGTGAGTATGTAAAAATTGCAATGTTTGTTGAATTACCATATGTTTCCAATGACAGGATCATAACCTAAAAAGTACTAGGCATGGGGAAAAAAGCTTATAATATATGCAGAGACCAAGTTATGGGAGGACAAATGCTAATGACGTTTAAGAATAAAAAGATACACAGCTGAGAAATATTCAGCTCATAAAATTGTCAGACCTGCAGATTGAACTGGATGTAGCCACGGAGGGAGACAGAGGAATCTGGAATGAGTTCTAGGCTTCAGCGAGAGCAGCTATGTCTATAAATCTTCTGGAAGACATCTTCCAATTTGATGGGTTGATGGTGATCACAGTTTGCGATCTTTAAAGACAAGATATACCTCTTCTGGTGGACCTTTCAGGAGCACACCGCCTGGAAGGTAACAGAGGTTTTCAAACATTGAATATATACACCATGAAAGAAATGTAAAAATTGAACTCTCTGCCTGGGATACTGATGCTGTTTATTAAATACTTGAATAGCAGCCTATAAATTAAAAACTTTGGCAATAACAGTGAAGAAGTTGTTTACTCAGGGCATCTGGAGGCAATGAGACAGGCATATCTATGGACCCGTATGAATACAATATTTGAGGATTGACTAAACACAGGTTTTAAGTTATGACCATAAAACTAAGAATTCATCACCAACATCCTGCTTACAAAGAATTTTGTCCCCTCAAAAGCTTGCTACTTAACATCTTGAAACGTTTGATGACAAAGTATTTTGATCACTTGGGGCAGAGGTTTAAATATTGTCTCCCTAGAAATGAAAATACAGGGTGTCCAAAAAGTTGCCTATAAAGTCTCCATACATAGGGGAAATGGGAAATTGTAGCTAAATGGACATGATTTGATGATTTTAAACCACAAACTTTGATATTATTAAAGTTTGGTTACAAACATGTACAAAATAGTCATTACAGAATTTTACAAGCTATTTACAAAATATCCTCTACGTACTGGTCTCCTCTTAGTAAAATTTTGCAATCACTGATTTGCAAATAAAGGTACATTCATATATACGAATTATCAAGGGAATCTGGAAAGTAACCATATAATTCTGTAATCACTATTTTGTAAATAAAGGTATATTAGATATAAATAAAGGTGTCTATGTATAATATTAAAATATATAAAATTTATAATTTTCGATATAAAATCTTAGAAGACATTTGAGAATAGTTAAGTCCACAAGTAGTTGACGGTCCAATCCCAGAGAGAAAGGAAATACTCAGAGGTGAGCTTTAGGCTCCTCTCTGCCTTTCCTCCGGGCATATGACACTTCCTAGGTACCAGCTAACAAACTACAAATCTGAGCAGAGGTCCCCAAGGCCTCACCGTACTACAGAGACAAAAACTGGAATTAAGGGTCCCTTGAGAAGGAAGAGAGACCTAATAAACGCCTTAGGAACAATTGGGACCAACGAGAGGCTATCCCCTATGAGTAAAGGCAAATCAGACATATTCTAGATTTTATGCTCCTTTTTTAAAATTTTTCTTACTTCTACATATGTATATTAGGTTTCCACTTTTGCCTTCACAGAATTAAAAAGGCTAAATTTAATGACAATAACAATGTTTAACGTTAAGGACTGAGAACAAAAACCTCATAAAGAACGAACGAAGGTAAATACATTCAGAAAAGGAATCAGACAATTGCTTCAACGAAATATTAAACAATAATAATAGTAATAATGCAAAGAAAGTAACATTCACATTGTTAGATAGAAGTGTGTCTATTATAGAATACTTTGATCAGCTAAGAAGTTAACTGATAGCTGTTTATAATAACAGTTAAGAAGAAGAAGTTAACTGATCAAAGTTAACTGATAGCTATTTATAATAACAATTAAGAAGTTAACTGATCAAAATATTCTATAATAGACATACTTCTATCTGACAATGTGAATGTTACTTTCTTTGCATTATTACTACTATTATTATTTAATATTATAGGGTGGCACCTGTGGCTCAAGGAGCAGGGCACCGGCCCCATATACCAGGGGTGGCAGGTTCAAGCCTAGTCCTCGCCAAAACTGCAAAAAATTTTTAAAAAGATAATAAAAAATAAACTGTATGAAGTACATTCAAACATATTGGAGCTATATTCTAGATTTTACAAAAATTAAAACCAGCTTGTGATCAACCCAATCCCAGATCGGATTAAGGAGATCTACCTTGAGACTGTCTACCAGAGGCAATGTACGTTTTGATAGATTTCCATAGTGCAATGCCAGGCCGCAATGCTACAGGCAGAATCATGGATAAGTATTAAACATATATTTTGAAAAAGACAGGCTATGTGAATGCACTGAAATCCTTTCCCAAACTAGCAAAACTCATCTGTGGTTTTAGATGTCACATAGAGGTTTCCTTTGGGAAAGAAGGAATATAGGGATGGCAAAGAGACCTGACAGAGGCTTCTAGAGCTCTGCTACGGTTTTATTTCTGAGTCAGAATGGCAGCTACACGGGATATGTAGTTTGTGACGATTTGTGCACTTTTCCGAATACATGTAAAGCTAAGTGTATTTCAGTATTATTTACATAATAAACAAAAGCTGTAATACAGACTCTTAGGAAATCCCTATTCCTGAAAAAAAAAAAAAAAAAAAAGCATTTCCAGGAACCACTACAGAGTTTCAGTTGTTTATTATAAAGTATTTGACCACAGTACATTTTTATAAATCCCTTGGAATTTGTATATTTTATCTGAATTTTTTCCTGGGATAAATGGTTTATTTATTCCTAAGACAAACATCACTGATACAAATATTACATCACTGATATTTTACTGATTAAAATATTAATTTCAAGTAATATAAACTCTTGTATGACTGTAATATA